TTTCACAAAATATTTATAAATGTATGGAAAATTTTATAATTTTAATTGTGGAAGTTGAAAAGTGTTAGGTTTTATTTCTTGGCAATCCCGTTTGACAAAACTCCTTTGAGTTGTACTTTTATTCGCATTTTTAGTTCAGTGAGGCTATGAGTTGTTAGATGCGAATCCAACCCGAATCAAGCATTTCAGAGAAGTTTGTGATGATAAAGCTTTCAAGATTGCCACTGCCTGTCCGAGCATGTTATATTTTTCCAGTTTTTCCAGTTTTGGCCTTCCCGCTCGAGCGGGGAAAGTGACGCTCGAGCGGGGATTGGATACAAATTCAAAATTTATATTTAAAATTTTATTTAGAAATAATAATTTATGATTCAAATTCATTTTATATATGGACTCATACTTCACCAATTTAATTTTTACCGCACAAATTATTTCTTGACAAAAATCTAGATTAAAAGAATTTTTTTTTTTGGAGGGCAATTTTGGGTATGCAAATACAGCTTTGGTGCATGCATATTTCAATCAATGGAGGAATTAAAAATTATAATAATATGCAAAGTTGTCCTCCATTTCTTTTTTATTTTATTTGTATTAGGTAAGTAGAAGGGGAATTTTTTTTCAGGTCCTTGGTATTAAGACTTTACAGCATAAATGACACTTAATATTTTCATAATGTCTAAGGTCTCTCAAGTTGATCTAGAGAAAATTAATCCAGAGGAATTTGGTCCAGAGAAATTTGGTCTAGAGAAAATTGATCCAGAGAAAATTCCTCAATATTTTCATAATTTCTTCACCTGTTTGAATTTGCAGCGTTACCACCATGGGTTTGTTTACATGGTCCAGAGAAATTCTTTGGTTTAGACTGAATTTTCTTTGGTCTGAACTGAATTTACTCTAGACTTTCTCTGGGTTGGTCCAGAGAATTTCTCTGGTTTGGTTGGTCTGAATTTTCTTTGGATTGTTGGACTGAAATTTGAGAAGCTGATGCATACTTACCTTGATTGAATTACCCATGAGATTTGTGATGATTTGCCGAAATCTACCTGGATCTCCATAATACTGAAATTCTTGAATTGGGAAAATTCAGTTTAAAAACCAAAGAATTTCTCTGGATCAACCCTGAGAAACTTCAGTAAAACCAAAGAATTTCTCTGAACCAACCCAGAGAAAATTCAGTTAAAAAACCAAAGAATTTCTCTGGTTTCAACCTAGAGAAAATTTAGTTAAAAAACCAAAGAAAATTCAGCTGAAATCACCTCATCATGCAGAGACAATGATTCGTTTGCTCGTCCATGCTGGGCCATCCCAACTATAATTGAAGTCCAAGAAACTATATCTCTTTGGCACATAGTATCAAAAATGGTCTTTGCTGCTAGTATGTCACTACATTTAGCATACATATCAACAAGTGCATTACTAACAAATAAACTAGATTCATAACCAAGAGATAAAACTAAGCAATGAATCTGTTTTCCAAGCTCCAATGCTACTAAATTAGCTGAGGCTCCAACAATGCTTGAAAGAATAAAAGGGTCTACAATATCAACCCCTGCTCACCTCATTTCAATGAAGAGATTAAACCCATCAATCCATTGTCACTCTGTACCAACCCAGATATCAAAGCCGTCCAAGAAAACAAATTCTTCTCCGCCATACCACGCAAGAGTTCAACAGCTTCCGATTTTCATCCACTTCGGGCATACCCAGAAATCATAGCTGTCGAAGAAACTAAATTCTCCGCCAAACCAGAGAATTTCTCTGGATCAACCCAGAGAAAATTCAGTTCAAATCATAGAATTTCTCTGGACCAATTTAGAGAAAATTCACTTTAAGCCAGAAAATTTCTCCGGACCAACCCAGAGAAATTTCAATTCAAACTAGAGAATTTCTCTGATTTCAACCCAGAGAAAATTCAGTTTAGGTGATCGTGATTTACCATTTCTTTCTGATAATGGATCATCTGAATCAGCTTTTCACTGCCACTGCAAACCTGCCATTCCTTTGGTTCTTCATGTGAGGATTTAGCCTTAAAAGCTTCAGATACTTCTGGACCATATCCTTGGCGAAACGCTTCGACGAACCGTTCTCAGAGCTCTGCTTCCGTGAATTGCTTCTCGAACTGTTCACTCTCGCAAGCAGTGAGAAAATCGAAACTTCCTCAACCTTACATTTCTCAGCAAAACGCTTGCTCTGCTGGTGAGTCGCCGGCGACGCATCGGCGGACTCGATTTTCTCCAATTTCGGCTTCTTAAACAGCATAAACACACGAAACTTCGGCGGAGATCTCAGGAACGAAATCAGAGACAAAGGCTTGGTTCCTTTAAAAAACACATCATTAGGAGATTCAACGAAATCGGACTCGATCACGCCGTCCTTTTTTTAGCCAAATCGTTGTACGAATCTTCGTTAGTGTCCGAACCATCGCCCTTGTCTTCCTTCTCGTCAGAACCTGGCACAGTAAATTCCAAATCGAAGAAAGTCTCTTCTTCCTCATCGGATTCAACCGGCTGACGGTGGTAGAGCGGAAGGAGGAGTCGGAGGAGAAGGTGTTGAGGAAAATGTCGTAGAGGATGGTGGAGAGGAGGGTGGAGGAGCAGAGAAGAGAGAGAGAGAGGAGAGACAAATTTCTCTAATATATGTTTAGGGACCTTAGACATCAGAAAATAATTTTATGGATCTCTTCCATTATGAAAAGTGGGGGAGGGCCCCTACACTAATTTTCCCTAAGTAGAACGTCAGCATGCGACGCAATCAAGTGATATTTCTCAATAAATTCACAGTATAATTCTTTCTAAAATTTTAGAGATACAATTAGAAGTGTAAGTAGTTCAATTCAGTTGAGATTGAACAAAAATTTAACACTAAAACAAACCGTTTGCTTTTGTTAGTTGAGGAACTAAAACCAACTGTGTATTATGGTTTTGGTTTTGTGAATTTTTTTAATTTAGTGTAAATGATGGCTTCAAGAAAGATTTTAAGTTTTTTTATAAAAATCTATAAAATTCCACGTCCAAAATAAATGAAAAGAGATGGAGAAGAATGCTTTGTAAATATCTTTCCTCTTAAGGTAAGCAGATTCCTTTCCTACATCCATATTGTTTTGTAAAGTGTAAATTTTGAAAATACCACTTCAAAAAAAAAAAATACAAAAAATGAAAAATAATCGAAGCTTAAGAAATAAAATTAAAACAACTAGCATCTAAAAAATAAATTCTGTAGTAACTCAGGTTTAATTATAAAAAATTAATTGACCAAATTAGGCTCACCACTTGTCTATTTTAGTTTTTTTTTTTTTTCCACATAAATCAATTATAGAATTAAACACAACTTTCTCGCATGAATATAAAACTCATAAAAATATGAGATATATCTCCTATCAAATGATTGTATTTAATTTTGTGATTAGTTTGTGTTTTTTAAACTTTTTTTAAATCTATTTTTGCTTTATCATTAGCAAATGGGATACGGATTTGGAAGATTGCAGGGAAGCATGTTGTGGACTGACATTTATGGTCTACAATAATGTTAACTTGTTGCTACACTTTTTAATGGTGACATGAAATCGTCACTCCAATAATTCAGTCCTATTCTATCTTAAAAAACAATAATAATAATTCAGTCCTATTGTATTGGATAACTCTTGTCACATGGTCTTTTAACTTTTTTTCTTTCTTTTTTTTCTTTTTTCTTTTACACCAATTTAATAGGATTTTAAAAAAATGTCAGCTCTATCCATCAGGATAATTAATCGTTAATAACCAAAAGAGCAAACTATTAATAAGTCCTAATAGTTAAACTTAATTTCTATCAATTTTTATTAAAAATAAGTCTTAGTAAAGCCGCCATTAAAAATAATTTTTTGTAACATGTTTTTGCATATGTCGTTAAAATTTGACAATCAATGACTTCTTTTTTCACGTTTTTTTATAAATTGTCACTAAAATTTACAATTAGTGATGTTTTTCTATGACGAATTTTTTAAACTGTCGCTGAAAGTTAATTTGTGGCAATTTTTTTAAATTGTCACTAAAACTTATACTAATTAGTGACATTTTGTGACAATTTTTAAATTGTTGTTAAAAATTAACAATTAGTGACTTTTCTAATAGTATTTGATGAAAAATGTCATTAATTCTCACATGACTTATTAGAGAATAAAATCGACTTATTAAGACCTGCAGGTAAGTCTCTTAACCAAAATTGCCCTTCTAATTGTTGGGTTTTCTTTTGTAAGAGTGTATAAAAATGTTTTATTTTAAAGTTGCTTGTTTAACATTTATTTTTATTTGTTAGGCCATCTCCAACGGTTCATCAAACCTTGCATCAGATTTGAAATTTGGTAAAAAAATCACTTTTTAGAGCTCCAAAGATTTAAGCAAATTGGTATCAAAATGAGAATGAAATAAAAAATTCATCAAAGTGAAACAGGCTACAGATTTCACTATTTTACTGTGCTTTACCATTGAGAGAGACCAACCAGTCAACTAGCCGGATGCCTGGCCGGTTGACCAACCGGTCGACCGGTTCCCTTTCAAATAGGTAAGTTCAAACAGGCTAAAACAAAAAAAAAAAAAAAATTTAGTCTTACCGGTCGTCGACCCACCGGATAACCCTTCCCTCAATTCTGCATATATTTTGTTCGACAAGTTTGATGCTCACCGTTTAAGGAAGCCGTATCGAATTGAAAAAATAACCTATTTTTTATTCAAATTTGATAAAAAAAGAAATGAACAATTGGAAATGCTCTTAGTAAGCCGTATTTGTTTGGTGTCACTTCCTAGACCATGGGTCAATTTCATTTTGTTTGGTTGTCCTTTAAGTTTCAATTGATTCAATTCACGCATTAAAAGATGAGGTTTGTGACTCAATTCTCATCCTTACAATCAGATAGATATATAAAAACAAGAAACTATAATATCTTTCGCATCACCAAGACTAGAGTTTTTTTTTATTTTTATATATAGTTTTTTTAGATTAACTGAATGCGAAAAAGGCACTGAAAGTTTCAATTGGATCAGCAACAACATTTCTTTCCTTTGCCCAACAACTAATACATTGTCTTGTGCGCTTGTTACTAGCCTGACAACAGTGCTTAACAATTCCCTTCCTAAAAATTAAATCAAGGTCTTTACAAGTTCCGAAATTGTTCTATTTTTAATTTTTAATTATTTTCTTAATGATTTTAAAATAAAATAAAATAAAATAAACCTTTCCCCCGTTGTAATTCCAATGCCACCCACCCACCAACTATCTTAATCCCCCGATAGAAAGGCCGCCTGACGCCGCTACAACAAAGCTCAGTCAATGCCCGAGCAGGCTATGGTTCAAAGACGAGCAGTTTCACCCCCCTCAAGTCAATTGATTTCATAGAAAGCCCCAGGATGAAACTTCTTGCAATGTGCTTCCGCAGCTGCTTCTACTCTTGATTGATCCTGCAGCCAATTATGGGAAGAAGGTCTTTATCATTCGAAATAACATATTGTTAAGGATTAAATATATTTTGAACTAATTGACATCATCGTGCAATTATCCCCGTACCTTGCCTTCAAAACTAATAACAAGGGGACCAGTTCTGGATTCACGATAGCAACCTTGATGTTTCAAAAAAAAATAACACAATTAGAAGAGAAAGAAACGGTTATATTATAGTTCCCAATCACAGTTAAAACTAAAGATGCTCACCTATGTAAAGATCTGGGAATTCAAGACACAGTTTTGATAGAGGTTGAGCAGTTTCTACCTGTATTAGGTAGAACACATCAAGAATCAATGACACCACAAACAAAAGCTATTGCACAACTATTTGATTAAGCATTACTCACACAAACCAAGCCTAGCAACAATTTCACCAAAACTTTCAAAATATGCAATATTGACCACTCCATTCCCATACAAATGCAATGTATACGTGTTTCCTCATTGATAAGTTCTACCTACCCCGATTCACAGAGTACCAAAGAAGAAGTGGATGGATATACCAGAAAAACTGTTGAAAGGAATTTGAACATGGCATCGGCACAAGAAGACAATGATTACCAGCCAAGTTGGCTCAAAGAATAATGATCTAACAGTTCAACAATGTCGACACTTCCTGCTAGCTTGCAATACCCAAATATTGAGTTAAGTACTCTCATGGACCTAAGTGTGAGAGTACCCATGCATGTATAAACTAGAGCATAAAGGGAAACATGCCACCAAAAAATAAAAAATAACATAAAATAAAATAAGTGAAATATAAATATTAAATCTGACTTAGAATTCATCCACAAAATTCTTCGAGCTGGTGAGGAAAAAATTCTCGAGGAGGGCTATTAAAGCAATGTTAAAGCCTCACTCCTAACAAAAACCACATAAAAATCTTCTCAATATTATTATCCTTTTCATGACAATAAGCAACACAATTTATTCTTCAATCTCAAATTGACTCAACTTAACAAGCCTCCATCCCAATTACTTGGGGTTGAACTGTTTTCTCCGGTTAGTTCCTATTAAAAGTCATGTCCTCAATTAGTCTAAGACAATCACCTCCTTTTGTACAATCTCAACCTATGTCCTCCTTCAGCTTTCTTCTATTTTTGCTCAATTTCTAAATTGAGCAAAAATATTGCTCTTGCTATTTGTTTTATTAAATAATGCTCTATTATCTTTCCTTATTTATAACCAGGCTCTTGATTGAACCATTTTTGGCCCCCTTTTGCATTTCTATGTTCAGTTTTTGTACAGACTAACCGACAGTGAAATGGAGGGAAATTTATCCTTTTGTTATTTATATTTCGTTTTCCTGCCAGTTGTGTAAAACCCAAACAACACATAACAAGAAAAGGGAAAATTATTGTGTGTATAATGAAGGGAAATTCAAGGGTGGGCAGAAATCAAGTGGCAAACACGAAGGCAAAACAAAAAATCTTCTTTTCTAGCAGAGACTACCATACAATAACAAAATCATGGAAACTGAAAAAAAAAATAACAAAGTACAGAATAGTAAACTTGGCACGTACATCTGACTGAGTGGTTCTCAAGCGCTTAGATACAAACGGTTCCGCCAATGCTAGAAGGCCACTAGAACTTGTTAATTCAATCAGACAATCCCATTGCCCGTCCAGCTCGGTAACATTTGTTGCAGTAAGGATGATTACATTTAGACACTCGATCTACAACAAGAAACACCAATTTGACGTCAGTAATTCAAAGGATTTTGTCAGGGAAAATAAATAAAAACATAGACCAATAACAATGGAATCACAATCTAGAGAGGTACAACAGGACTAATCAGCAAAATGCAGCAAACAGTCTAAAATTATAAGATTTATACAGTAAAGTAGAGACAGGAAGGGCAGGCAGTCACTGTTAGTAACAAATATTTAGGACACAGTAGAGGACAGCATTGGTAATATACATGTCAAAGATAGCTTTCAGCCAATAGGATCTATGCTCCTTCATTTTTACCTAAATTTCACTCACTTTAGTCTTGCTCCTAGCTATGAAAACATTCTTCTTGCTTTCATATATTGAAAGCCTTTTTTTTCTTTTTGCTTTTTTGTAAGTTATATGTTGAAATCCATATTTCTGTGATGAAATGCTAATGTGAGTTTTAAGGCATTCCATATTTGACATCTTAAATTATGAGGGCTGCTATTTGCCCCCACCATTTTACTTTGGCCCCCCCACTTCTTTGAACCCCCATCCAACAAAATGAAACCCCTCCATTTTCTCTTTGAACCCCCACCTTAATACAAACTATATCTCTAACCCCAAATTCAAACCCAAAATACAGTGTCATGAGTTTATATATGTTGGTGGTTGGCAGTGTAACGAGTTTATACATACAGTCAAAACTCAAGAATCAAACAAGGGACAAAACTCTCTATCCTATACATACAGTCAAATGCAAGCAAGGCATCTTAAATAATATTGTCTACACCCAAAAAACGACGGAGCAAAGTGTCAGAACTAACTTACTGGTCCCTTCCAACACTAAGAATCCACTGAGCAGGATGAGTTAAATATGGCTCGGCTTGAGAACTGCTGCTCAAAATTGGCCCGAGACTCTCAAGCTCAGAATTAAATTCCCTCTCAAATTTCCTGCAGATTATTCACAGCATATTAATAGTGATTTATCCTTACAGAACAGGATCAGTGACTGCTGCATTTTCAGTGGCTAACTTCAGTGACTGCTGCATTTTCAGTGGCTAACTTCAGTGACTGCTGCATTTTCAGTGGCTAACTTCAGTGACTGCTGCATTTTCAGTGGCTAACTTCAGTGACTGCTGCATTTTCAGTGGCTAACTTCAGTGACTGCTGCATTTTCAGTGGCTAACTTCAGTGACTGCTGCATTTTCAGTGGCTAACTTCAGTGACTGCTGCATTTTCAGTGGCTAACTTCAGTGACTGCTGCATTTTCAGTGGCTAACTTCAGTGACTGCTGCATTTTCAGTGGCTAACTTCAGTGACTGCTGCATTTTCAGTGGCTAACTTCAGTGACTGCTGCATTTTCAGTGGCTAACTTCAGTGACTGCTGCATTTTCAGTGGCTAACTTCAGTGACTGCTGCATTTTCAGTGGCTAACTTCAGTGACTGCTGCATTTTCAGTGGCTAACTTCAGTGGCTCACCGTTGAAGGAAGCCGTATCAAATTGAGAAAACAACCTATTTTGTACTCAGATTTGGTGAAAAAAGAAGTGAACGGTTGGAGATGCTCTAAGGACTTCAAATTATTTTATTAGTACACTAAGTAATATATTCACATTAATGAATATTTATTATTTTATTAGTACACTAAGTAATATATTCACATTAATGAATATTTATGAGAAGTGTCTTTGTGTCTAGCAGTAAAAAAATCAAGTACAAATGTAGTGTATTTTCCTATAATAAATCTCAACTGAAAAACACACACACAAAAGAAGAAGAAAATAAATAAATAAATAAATAAATAAAGCACAATTTTACCATGATATTTAAAAAGATAGTACTTTTATATTGTAATTTTATAAGACAAAAGGTTGACTTAAAAGATGAGATAATTCTTTATTTAGTGCAATGTTAGGGTTTATGTTTTATCATTTGGGAATATAATTTTTCTTTCCTCTATTCTTCTTCTTACTTAAAAAGGGAAAAAAAGAAGACAATAAGCAGAGTCTATAAACTTCTATTTGATTCTCTACTTTCCATCAAACATACTAAAAAATAAAAAGAAAAATCACACTTATATCTAACCGCATTAAAGTTGTATTTTGATAACACACATCCAATAACAAGACAATCCTAACTACTCATTGAAGTATTTAACCAAGATTCGATAAAGAAAAATAATTTATAAACTAAATTTCTAAACATAAAATACATACAATGGTATGACAATAATATTATCAGAATTATGACTATTATGAGTATTGTGATGTTAAAAGGAATAATCCCATCAAATCATATAATTTTATTTAAGTTTTTTTATATAATTTTTTTTATTTATTTAATGTTACCATTATTGAAATGGACCCTCCACATCCCATTTGATCCAACTCTACCAAACCCAAAGAAGCCCAAAGTGGGCAAGAGCGTGTTACTGAAAAAAAGAAAAATACCCCAAGACTCCCAATGAGGTGACCCCCACCACTCTACTGTTTTCTGATCAGCTCAATAAATTAATTAGAGACCATTCGTTATTTTATTAACAGAAAAACTCAAATAATTTGAAAGCAACGTCACATGGCCACATGACCGTTAAAGACCAAAATATAGTCGTTGTCAACCCTATGATCCGACGGCCACATTTCACTAGCCGTTGGGTTTGTGGAAAAAAATGCGGCCTTGTCTCTGCCGACAAATCACTCTGCCTCATTCACTCCCTTCTTGCTTCCTTTATCTTCTCTCTCTCTTCTTCTTCTTCTTCTCAGAAGCTGAGTCTGTAGATTTAGGGTTTTTTAGATGCTCTTAGGCTAGTTACATTGTGAGGTGTTTGATAGGTAGGTTGTGTGGTTGTTGAAGAGGGGGAGAGATCTATATTTTCAGGTAATTTAACCAAAGAAAATGGTTATATCTGATGAGAACAAGAATAACCCCACTTTGATTAAACCCATAAACTTACAAGGTAAACTATTCAGACCTTGATCTGAAAATGCAGATGAGATTGAGCATTTTTTTTTTTCCACATTTCGAGTTTGGAATCAGCACAAAAACCCTAGTTTCTGAATTGGGGTCTTTTTTTTTTTTTTTAATTTATAATTTTGAATTCTTGTTTTGATCAGAAATGGGTAGCAGAAAGTTTGGGGTGGAGATTAGGCCCAACCGAGGAGCCTTAAGCATGATTAATCAAAATGTAGCTCGAGCTCATCCTTACCCTTGTGTTGTCAACAAGAAAGTCTTGTCAGGGTAATCCTCTCACTCTCTCTCTCTCTCTCTTGTTTTTGGTAACAACTAATATGACCATCTTTTGTTCTCAGAACCCATGAAATTTGTGATAAGTTACCTCCTCATCCAGCTCATAGACCAATCACAAGGAAATTTGCGGCACAGATTGCGAGCACACAACAACATTGTCTGGAGAAAACTAAGAAACCCGATTCATCATCTGTTCAAAGCTTCAGAGTCTGGGAAGATTGTCCAGTAATAGATGAGGAACATAAGGCAGCTACAGACCACCCAGTTCCAATGTCCTTGGAACAAACAGAAGCAGTCCCGGATGAAGAGGAACAGATGGTATTTGTCTCTGAAGCTGTGCTTTCCTTCAATAATCTTAACTGGTTCACAAATTGAACAATTGAATCCATGAAATTCCATAGGAAGTTGAAATGGAAGATATATTTGAAGAGCCCGTTATAAAAAAATCAAGTACAAATGTAGTGTATTTTCCTATAATAAATCTCAACTGAAAACACACACACAAAAGAAGAAGAAAATAAATAAAAAAAAAAATAAATAAAAGCACAATTTTACCATGATATTTAAAAAGATAGTACTTTTATATTGTAATTTTATAAGACAAAAGGTTGACTTAAAAGATGAGATAATTCTTTATTTAGTGCAATGTTAGGGTTTATGTTTTATCATTTGGGAATATAATTTTTCTTTCCTCTATTCTTCTTCTTACTTAAAAAGGAAAAAAAAAGAAGACAATAAGCAGAGTCTATAAACTTCTATTTGATTCTCTACTTTCCATCAAACATACTAAAAAATGAAAAGAAAAATCACACTTATATCTAACCGCATTAAAGTTGTATTTTGATAACACACATCCAATAACAAGACAATCCTAACTACTCATTGAAGTATTTAACCAAGATTCGATAAAGAAAAATAATATATAAACTAAATTTCTAAACATAAAATACATACAATGGTATGACAATAATATTATCAGAATTATGACTATTATGAGTATTGTGATGTTAAAAGGAATAATCCCATCAAATCATATAATTTTATTTAAGTTTTTTTATATAATTTTTTTTATTTATTTAATGTTACCATTATTGAAATGGACCCTCCACATCCCATTTGATCCAACTCTACCAAACCCAAAGAAGCCCAAAGTGGGCAAGAGCGTGTTACTGAAAAAAAGAAAAATACCCCAAGACTCCCAATGAGGTGACCCCCACCACTCTACTGTTTTCTGATCAGCTCAATAAATTAATTAGAGACCATTCGTTATTTTATTAACAGAAAAACTCAAATAATTTGAAAGCAACGTCACATGGCCACATGACCGTTAAAGACCAAAATATAGTCGTTGTCAACCCTATGATCCGACGGCCACATTTCACTAGCCGTTGGGTTTGTGGAAAAAAATGCGGCCTTGTCTCTGCCGACAAATCACTCTGCCTCATTCACTCCCTTCTTGCTTCCTTTATCTTCTCTCTCTCTTCTTCTTCTTCTTCTCAGAAGCTGAGTCTGTAGATTTAGGGTTTTTTAGATGCTCTTAGGCTAGTTACATTGTGAGGTGTTTGATAGGTAGGTTGTGTGGTTGTTGAAGAGGGGGAGAGATCTATATTTTCAGGTAATTTAACCAAAGAAAATGGTTATATCTGATGAGAACAAGAATAACCCCACTTTGATTAAACCCATAAACTTACAAGGTAAACTATTCAGACCTTGATCTGAAAATGCAGATGAGATTGAGCATTTTTTTTTTTCCACATTTCGAGTTTGGAATCAGCACAAAAACCCTAGTTTCTGAATTGGGGTCTTTTTTTTTTTTTTAATTTATAATTTTGAATTCTTGTTTTGATCAGAAATGGGTAGCAGAAAGTTTGGGGTGGAGATTAGGCCCAACCGAGGAGCCTTAAGCATGATTAATCAAAATGTAGCTCGAGCTCATCCTTACCCTTGTGTTGTCAACAAGAAAGTCTTGTCAGGGTAATCCTCTCACTCTCTCTCTCTCTCTCTTGTTTTTGGTAACAACTAATATGACCATCTTTTGTTCTCAGAACCCATGAAATTTGTGATAAGTTACCTCCTCATCCAGCTCATAGACCAATCACAAGGAAATTTGCGGCACAGATTGCGAGCACACAACAACATTGTCTGGAGAAAACTAAGAAACCCGATTCATCATCTGTTCAAAGCTTCAGAGTCTGGGAAGATTGTCCAGTAATAGATGAGGAACATAAGGAAGCTACAGACCCCCCAGTTCCAATGTCCTTGGAACAAACAGAAGCAGTCCCGGATGAAGAGGAACAGATGGTATTTGTCTCTGAAGCTGTGCTTTCCTTCAATAATCTTAACTGGTTCACAAATTGAACAATTGAATCCATGAAATTCCATAGGAAGTTGAAATGGAAGATATATTTGAAGAGCCCGTTATGGATATTGACAGCTGCGACGCCAAGAATCCACTAGCAGTAGTCGACTATGTCCACGATGTCTATGTCTACTACAGAAAAATGGAGGTAAACTAAAAGCTCATTGAATTTAGTCAATTATTAGTTATGAATGTCTATGCCTACTATAGATACTTCTTTATTTAGTGCAATGTTAGGGTTTAAGTTTTATCATTTGGGAATACAATTTTTCTTTCCTCTATTCTTCTTCTTACTTAAAAAGGAAAAAAAAAGAAGACAATAAGCAGAGTCTATAAACTTCTATTTGATTCTCTACTTTCCATCAAACATACTAAAAAATGAAAAGAAAAATCACACTTATATCTAACCGCATTAAAGTTGTATTTTGATAACACACATCCAATAACAAGACAATCCTAACTACTCATTGAAGTATTTAACCAACCGTTTGTGGGCTTCTCCAACTCCTGATTTGCAAACTGACTTGCAAATATTGGACATTATATTGGATTTCTCAATGGATGCTCTTATATCTTCAAACAAATCAACCTCAGTGCTTTGGTTGCTGTCCAAAGAGAAGTCATCACTATCTAATGTAGATTCTGAGTTTGCATATCTCCGCGTACACAGATCTTCTTGAGTTACGGGTAATAGGTGAGCTTCAACCTTCTCAAATCCTTTATTTATAATAAACAACTCTTCTGGACCTAGAAGTCCTGATCATGCATGAAGCATTAATGAGTTCGAATTTTAACTTGCTCTAACCATATGAAATGAGTTAACATTGGCAGAAGGCACCAAATATTTCAGATTTCTTGTAAAAGCATACCTGCACTGGTGAAAAAAGCAGTATCCCAATCTAAACTTTTGCGCAAGTTGCTTGCTCTTCCCAACTCAGTGGATTCATGAAATAAGACCTTTTGCTCCCTTTGCTCAAGTATTTCTATTGCATTTTCAGGTTCACGAGAATCTGTGGTCCCAAACGGCTTGAAACCTTCTTGCTCATCTATTTTCTCCAACACTACTGTGAAAATGAATTCAAGAATAAAATGTTTCAGGCTAAAATTGAAAATGGAAGAATGTATCAGTTCAAGTAACTGCAGAATTGTTCCTAATGTTGATGCAGAAACTAAGATCAGTTGGTGGTTTTTCATGCAGCCTAAGCAAATTAGAGTCCTTTAGATATTGATGTGTTAGTTATCAGGAATTAGGAGAGTCAAAGATGATGCAGAACTATGAAATATCTCACAAATAAAATGATATCAGAAATTCAGACTTACCATAAGGGAACTACTGTAAAATATTAAGGTTCTTAAAATTTTGCTCCCATCCCCGAAAGTAACTGAAGAATTAGAAACACAGGTCTATTCTAATGGATTGATTATTAGTCTTAACAATATGATAAACAATAAGACATGAAAATTAGAATTAGAATATAAACATGCCTACATGGAGCAGAGAAATATCATTCACGTACTATATAACCTACAATTAGATTATTACAGAGTATTTCTTCCAATATACTTGTGTTATCTCACATTAAGACATAAGTACAAAGTATTGTATTGGCGGAGATTAGGTGACTAGTTACAATTTATAAAGCATGGCTAGAGGGATACAAGAAAGAGTTATGACACAATATGGATACATCAATACAAATTCTGAAAAAAGTAGGATATGGATTATGTTAAAGGATAAAACCATAAATAAAAATATATATAAATTAAAAAGTAATTGTCATAAATATTTTAGGATAAACTATTTTTCTTTATTTATCTATAATTAGGAAACACTCTAATTTTGGCGAAGCTGAGTCAGACTTTAGATTTCTAGAAAAAAGTTGAATAAAAATTGATTAATTTATTCAGATGGTGATAATTAATCAAATCATTTGAGTCACATAGTTATTTTATATACACAATTACATAAGCACCATGAAGTATGTAAGCTCTCTACTTCCAGTCCCATGCTCCGCATATAACTCCACTATCATCAAGAGTTGCAATGCTTCCCTACGATGTATTCAAGCACATCAAGTATGTGTTGACTTTCTAGTCTACCAAATAGTCTTAATTTCAAACTACTAGAAGTCACGGCACGCAAAAAAATTCAAAGTGTTGTATTGGCAGAGATTAAGTGACTAGTTGCAATCTACAAAGCATGGAATGGGATACAAGATAGAGGGTATGACACAATATGGATACATCGATACAAATTCTTAAAAAGTAAGATATGGATAAATTTAAAAAGTAATTTTGTGAAGACTGTTTTTCAAACTACTAGGAGTCATAGCAAGCACAAAGTGTGCATAAATCATTGAAAGACAATAACAATTCTAAATATAAAATTTATGGTATAAATGAAATGTTACCAGAAATGATGCTGTAAATTACTTCAAAAGATCAGCAACACAGTAAATTTTTTTAAAAAATGGACAAAAAGAAAAATAAAAAAGTAATTAACAAAATATTCAAAGTCCCTGTTAAATTTTATGTTTAGAATATCATCAATTTTTGTGTTTTTTTTTTCATGGGATAATAATACCATCATCAAATTGAAGTTATTTAATCTCTTTGTAACACATTTGACATAGGAAATTAATAACAGTGAAAGAAATGAAAATTATAGGCAGATAGATCACTATATCTAGCTAAGCATATAGCGACAATGACTATGAAAAGCTTCATACACAACATCACACAAAAAAAATCAAAATTTTTTTTATATATATACATACAATTTATGGTAGATGTATATGTACGTAAAAATGTTGAAAAATCTTTTAAGTGATGTCATTTAAACTAAGGTGGCGGTGATAGTATAAAATTATTGAGCAAATCCAAGGAGAAAATTGAATGTTCTTCTTCTCTATAATATTGGTTTGGAGGAATTGGAAAGTCTATCCCTCTTTGATAGAGCAAATATGTATATTCCTCGTATGGTACTTCTGCATACGTACTGACCAGGTACACAACACATACCCAAGCTTTTTCTTTTTAATTTTTGGCGTATCCAGACGTACCTAGTATATACCCAAGCCGCACCGTACCTCAGTTGAAATAATATTTTCTTCTATTGCAGAGATAAAACTCCTTTCACTAGACTTCTTTTTTATTTTTTGTTTTATACTTAGCATGATTTTAAAATTAAACTATATTGACATTTAACTTTGATTTATACCTTTACTTTTGACATTAAATGTTAATTGTAAGTTGAACCTTAACAAATTAAATCATTTAATTAATTTTTTCATTACTCTAAATTAAAAATGAATATTTTTTTACAAGCGTACCAAGCCTTACCCGTACCCTATTTTTTAAAAAGTTTACCGTATTGATGTAGTACCCGTATCGTACTAGTACTAGTATTCGTATTCGTACCCGTACCCGTGCTTCATAGGCAACAATGACTATGAAAAGCTTCATACACAACATCACACAAAAAAAGTCAACATAACATTATATATACATACAATTTATCATAGATGTATATGTACGTAAAAATGAAGAAAAGTCTTTTAAGTTGTAAGATACAGATAACGCAACGGTAAAAGGATTCAAACCATACCTTGCGTAAAAGAATTCGAAACGAAGAACCTTGTTGGTAAATCACATGCTTTACAACCATTAACTATGAACACCCAGCAATGGAGTGATACTACAGTATGAGTATCACCGACACTAGTCACAGTGCAAAGGCTGGATCGTTCTCTGATGGGAGAGAGTTAGAGAGAGAGTATAGGGAAAAAATGTTATGGGTAAAAAACCACATCACGTATCTGATGTTCTATATATTAAAACATATAATCAGATATATAACCATATATATCCATCTATCCATATCTCCTAAGGATAGGATGGATGTAGATAGATAGAGGGTTATCCTAACAAATAGGATAATCGGGAAATCAAATTCAAATTACATGGGTAATTTGAATGGGCCATGGGTCATGGGTGCCCAAATTCGGGTCCAATACCCGGCCCAATTTCCAACATCTCCCATTCGCACATGAGTTGGCATGATACTGCCACATCTCTATCTCAATCTCCCAAATATTGAACAATCCCATACTAGCCAATGAACCGTGCGACCGCTGAGAAACACTTGCATGTGGGAGCTCTATACTAGAAACTCAAAATGAGCCAGCATAGGGACATCAACCCAAAAAATAGAAATAGTGTCTCATATATCCCAGACCCATCTAATTACACCGGTCCAAAAACATCTCTAATTCCTTAAAAGAGCATGTTTGACCCTCTCAATTCTTGCAATGTATTCACTCAATCCGCCTCATACAGAGCGATGTGAGTTGCCGGCAGTGAATGTACAACTATGATGTAATACTAGATGATCTTCCCCTTACCCTTATGCCATTTAGTTTAGGATTGACCACTTTCCCAGTGATGCCCCTTAAGGCCGAATCATCCATGATCGCAAGCAACATACCAAGGTAGCAAAACATCAACCCCTTACCTTGTGACATAGTCAAATGTCACAAAAGGGTACATAAGTGAAAGTCATATCAATAATGACACGTAAGACTCACACGGTGAGGAAACAGGGATCCATTCTCTAACCTCATTACTCGGTCGCCAAACACATGGAGTATGAATACATGCTACGGTGGAGTAACTCTTCCAAAAGAGTGACATCATACTCGATACACCGTACAAATCTTAGTCTAGTCTCTTTCTAGCGCCTAACCCGAATTCTCTATTTGCTCGCCTTCCAGGTGCCAAATGAGATCTCGCATCTAGTTAATCATAACAGGCACAACGTGGAAAGTGGGTACTAACATCCATGTTTGGTCCTTGACACAACCTCATCTTGGTTGTAACCAAGGCGACATATATAGTGGATAATTTAAGTCCTTCTTGGCTCCAAATAAAAATAAACCACTAGTCTCATCCTTACTCGCTCCCAAGCACCAAGGGTGATTGCTCGTGTGAGTGAGCCAATCTTGCCTGCTCACATCATCATCTGCTAATCGTTATGACACAAACCATAATAGTGTCAACATCCCATCATCTCACAACAAATAAGTGATCGATTTTAAAAAAAAAACATGACCACAGTCTGCGCAATTCTGGATTCCAAGCATAAACCTTATCAGCACCTCTTGCGATAAGCATATACAACAGAATCCACCATGTGCGCCTCACATGAAGTGGTTCAAGATCACTACCTCTTGCGCAATTACCTCTCTAAAGATATGTTGTTGACCAATCTACGTTCATTCAAGATGTGCCCAACTAGCGCATTGAATCTTACAAATGGCAAATTTATACACTACCAGTAAAGCATCCTATCCACAGTCTAATGAGCAAGGTCAAGGTCTAAAACTACTCAGTTGACCATCTAAAGAGATAGCACTCATTATGCCGAATACGCCCACATAGCATACTTCAGGCTCCCACAAAAAAAAAAAAATCAAGGAATATAGGTCATTTGTTTCTCCCAAAGACAATCCGAGGATTCACTCAATAGCTAAGGCTCTAGCTTTTACCGATAGGTAAGTCAATGGGTTTGCAATTTCGCATTTAGAATCATTCTAGGATATTCCTTATGCAATTCATTAAAGACAAACCGAGAATTCTCCCAGAACAATCTCTAAGGATCTTACATCTGAGCATATAAATAACATCACCCATGTCCATCATGTCTAAAACAGAGGACTGCCAATCCTAGGTGGCGACAACCGTATAAATTCCTGACTCATAATGACTAAGTAAGGAAAAACTTCTTTTGGACCAATGATCATGCCTCAGTGGTCTTCATCGATCATCGTTTGCTTATCATGGCTCAATGAAATCTAAGAACCACTATTTGGGTAACTGTTTTAGACGTAAAAGATTTATTAGAACTAGCAATCCTTTTTGCGCTCCTAGCTTTTCACCATAAAAGCAGAAGGTAAATCCCTACAGATCTACTTATCCAATTCTCCAACAAGAAGTTGGGTCACAACGTCCACAAATCAAAATTCCGAACTCATGTCAATCATAGCCTAAGTCAAAGTAACCTTACTCCCCAGGAGAAAGTCTTCTCATGGTCTACACCTTCCTCAATGGTGCGACTTTTCGGTATCTAGCGAGCCTTATGCCTCAAAAAATGACTATCCAAATCGCGCATAACTTTAGAACAGTTTCGCGTCATAGCGGAAAGTCAACCAAATTATAGAAATGGTTAATCCTCAAAGACTTTGTCTTAAACTGCGCAACATTGATCCACTTTTCTAAAAGTAGGAGACTAGAGAGCCTTTGGCATTATCCTAGGCTCTTTATCATCTTGTGGAGCAATCATGAATGTTTCCCTCTCAATCACCTACTGATGACGTGGAAAATTTTCACATTCTCTACCACGCAACTAAGAATGTAGAGTAATCTCCTCTAATGGAGTAATCCACTAGTAGGCACATCGCTCCCACTGTCCCTAGGATGTTGGAAATTTCTTTCCATTCTCAACTAGGCTACATAAACCGCTATACTTAGAATTCTCTATTTTATAGAGTTCCAAAACTCTATTCACGTCACCTTTACTAAGAAAACTTTATGTGACTTAGTTACACTTCCACAAAGCTGCTTATCTATAAGCACATGACCTGGAGGGTTTACATGACTGCATACAATAATGCGCCACATGACCCTAAGTTTTTACAAGACAGCATACAATAATGCGCCCTAGATCTTTAGGTCTTAACTTCGCAACCTTAAGAGAAGTAAAATAAAGATAAGCTACTTGATGGTAACAAATCGCTCACAAATGGCTCTCTACTAACCCATTACTTAAATGGAGTGTAAAATCTGATATGGAGGGTACTTAGTTAAGGATATAGGCAACAAACTAGTGCAATTCCCAATTGGGAAACATTTTGCGCCATCATCCACCTAACACAAACAATATTTAATTCCTTATCTCTACTACACCATTGTGTTGCTGGGTACTAGGAATAATCAATTTTCTAAGCATCCATCTCTCTTCACAGAGTTTTCAGAAAAAACTCAAATAGATACTCGCCACCTTGGTCAAAACTAAAAGCACAAAAGCTCTTATCTAATTGATCTCAACCTCATTTGTGCAATGTCAAAAATCATCTCAAAACTTTTGACTTATGGGAGATCAAATAACCTTGACTAAGATGCGTATCGTAATCTATAAATGTGTCAAGATTGAGGCTAGCTATCTGTTAAAACCTACCATCACCTACTCCACCTACTACACCTACCACCACCTACTACACACCTACCACTACCACCTACTACCACCTACTCCACTACATCTCTTATATAAGGAGCCCCTCACCATTTGTAATATAACACATATCAATCAATAATATATCAAATTCTTGCATGGTATCAGAGCAATAGGTTAAAGATCTTGGTGTTCTTCGCCTTCCGGCGGGCGGCAACCTTGCCTTGACCGCCCGCCGGATCTCAACCAAGTCTTGAACCACACTGGTTAATCATATACAATAAGATGGCAAAAGGAGGCAAACTAACCAAGCTCAAGTCAGTACTCAAAAACAAATGGAACTCATTCAGCAAGCAGCTCAACAGCCCCTCCAGCTCCTCCTTCAATTTCCCGGCGACTATGTTCGAACCCTAGACGAATATTCCGGCGAATCTTCCTTCATATCCGGTGATACAGTGCTTGGTCTCACAGATTGATACTCGGAAGTAGTATCCTCGATCTACATCATTCCCCACGAGCATCCAGTCTCCATCCTTATCTTCATAGGTGGGCACATACTCGGAGCTGTGCAACAGATTCATCAACTTGCTCTCATTCATGAAATCTATCATTCCTTGGGCCCCATAGTTACCCAAGGCATCAGAAAGTTCTTGGTAGCTCTTGTACATCTTCAGATCCACCTTACGAAGGTAAGGTGCGCCATCCATGGAAACCTTCACAAAGGCTACACCGCCACCACTGCTCCTGCTAGTCTTCTCTACCTCCTCGGTGGTGCTCTTCTGAGACATTATGTTCTTCCGGAATGACCTAACTGGCGGCCAACCCACCACCTGTGCCTTGGCGGGTGGCTTAGCGGGATCCTTAGTGCAGGGGGGAAGGAGGTTCATCTTCTCCTTTGGTGGACTGTTCTTAATCTTCTCCGCAGAAGCCGAAATCTCCCAACGAATTCCGCCATCAGATCGTCGAATGCGGTGATTGACGGATCCAGCGCCGTCGCATCTCTGCCGCTCTCTAGGGAAACTCCGGTCCGGAACCCGGCGGACAGCGCCTCGAGATGCACCACCGCCGATTCCAACCTCCCTATAAGCTTCTCATCCTTTTTTGAAAACACACTTTATTCCTCTCTCATCCATTCACGCACGGCGGTATCATTTTAGGTCATTGTGAACTTGGAACCCGTTTGGATCGCAGGAACGTGGGTTTGCTTGAGTGGTGTCTGGTCTTGAAGTATGGTTTCAAGCTGGCATCTTTTTTTGTTTGGGAATAGCGCACACATTAGTTTTTATTGTACCAAACAAGGCACCAAAACCACGGCGACTTTGAGTCATGTTTCCTTACTTTGGCTCAATTAAGGTTTGACCTAAAGTCTCCAAGACTTTTGCTCATCTAAAGAATGGGATTAGTTTGTTCACATTTGAACATCTCTACTAAGTTAGGTCAATCAAATTAACTTCCATAAGTTAAATCAATTTAGAGAGAAATTCGTATTGGGATTAATTTGATTAGCATAATATAATTTTACTGCAAAAATCTAAATTAAATAGTGACAATATTACACAAGTCGCAAGATCGAAAATCCGCTATGCTCGTAATCATCTCTTGTGCCACATGTGACAATTATCCAAAAATTTAATTTAATTCATGCGCAAAATATTAGTTTTCAGGAGTAAATCTACAAAAATTTCTCTCAACCGAACAACCTCCCACTGACTATGGCATGTCTAAAGCATGATAAAATATTCTAATTCCATACAATAGCATCTTAATATAGATTCACAATCAACTCACGCTATGTTACATTTAATAATGGAATTTAAATAAAAAACAATTAATCATGTTATTCTAATCACAACATATTAGAAACTCTCTAGGCAAAAAATAACAATATGCTATGTTTAATATTCAGACTATGCCATAACAGAAAGTATATCAGTTCTGAAATTTTCTAATATTTTCTGGAATTTCAAATAATTAATAAATACACATAAAATCATAAATAAATATTCCAGAATCTGGGAAAAAGAAAAAATCATACCAGTAAATAGTAAACCATTACAGTAGTCTACAGAAAAAATTTTAGCCCAGAAACTTAGTCATGCAACACCAGAAGCATTTTAAAACAGAAATAATGAATTATTATTTCAGGAAAAATATTTTTATTTTCATAAAATTTTGAAAATTTTACAGTAGATTAAAAATTTAATTCTGAGTCTAACAGTACCAACCACGCTTAAAACAAAACTATGTCTAACAGTACCAACCACGCTTAAAACAAAACTATAACGAATTACTTATGACCATTTAAAGCAATTCTAGATTTTAAAATACAACAAACAACGCCTTACACCCAGCTGCCAAACCAAACAAGCCGGCGGTGAAAACAGCATAGCTCGGCTGGGCACGCGGCGCGCATGGACAACGTGGCTGACACACGTGTGATGGAGCGTGGAAGCACGCCCGGCGCGTGATGGCATGTGGCCGCCGCTGACGGCGTCAGTTGGCGCATGAGGCACACGCGCTGCCTTCCGGTGTGTTTTCTGGTCCAATTTTGGTACTGCTAGACTCCATTTTCCAAAATAAAAACTATGGTGGTATCAAAAATGACATTTAACAAATACAAGTAATGGAGTGTAGCACACCCTCTCTCTAATGAGAGTGGAAGTGCAGAAACTCTACACTTCATCTTCTTCCTTAAGCCACTAAAAACACAAAACACAAAACGAACCGAAATTAGAGTTTTTTTTTTTCTCATCAACCGTAAGTCGGAATCAAGCCCATAATATACCATTTCGAAGGTATCAAAACAAGGATTCCAAATATATAATTTTCATAACATAAAAACAAAGCGTTTAAAACCAGCATGCAGTCAAAGTTTCGAAAAATTAAATATGAATCTCCATTTTTCTCAAAATCCGACCATTGGATTTTCATGAAACTTTGCAGATATATTCTACATGAAATATACCACAACATATGTAAATTTCAAGTTGATTGGGGACAGTTCGAAAAAATATTAATTTTTCATGCATATATCACGTGTGTATATATATATAATTATATACATATTTTAATGCACAAAAAACAAGCACGAAAATACCCATTTATGGCTCTGATACCAATGTAAGAAACAGATAACGCAACAGGTAAAATGATTCAAACTATATCTTGTGTAAAAGAATCCAAAACAAAGAACCTTGTTGGTAAATCACGTGCTTGACAACCATTAACTATGAACAACCAGCAATGGAGTGATACTACAGTATGAGTATCACCCACACTAGTCACAGTGCAAAGGCTAGATCGTTCTCTGATGGGAGAGAGTTAGAGAGAGAGTATAGGGAAAAAATGTTATAGATAAAAAACCACATCACGTATCTGATGCTCTATATATTAAAATATATAATCAAATATCTAACCATATATATCCATCTATCTGTATCTCCTAAGGATAGGATTGATGTAGATAGATAGAGGATTATCCTAACAAATAGGATAATCAAGAAATCAAATTCAAATTACATGGGTAATTTGAATGGGCCATGGGTCATGCCACATAGGCGCCCAAATTCGGGTCCAATACCTGGCCCAATTTCCAACATAAGTGATGTCATTTAAACCAAGGTGGTGGTGATAGTATAAAATTACTGAGCAAATCCAAGGAGAGAATTGAATGTTCTTCTGCTCCATACTATTGGTTTGGAGGAATTGGAAAGTCTATTCCTCTTTGATAGAGCAAATATATATATATATATATATATAATACACACAGAGACAATGTACTTTGCAACTCTATTTTTTCCACTGCAACAAGAAACTGAATGACAATCATTATTTAATCAAAGACCCAACCCACCTTGAGGCCTTCAAGCGAAAATGTCATCCTTCAAGTTGCAACACCAGTAGGAGCAAGAAAACACTTGATGTATAATAGCACTTGCACCACAGACATCCTCCAATTCATATAGGAAACCATTTGATTTGAAAGAGAAAGTTGGCAAGTGAAAAGCAGTTTCGGGAGAAGTTGTCAGGATGTGAATTTGTGGGAAGTTGATTTTAATGTTTCTAAGTGGAAAGGAGTTTGTGAGAATTTTGATTATTGCCCCATAACTTGATAGAAGGAAAATAATACACAACTTCAGTACATGATCAACACCAAAATGAGCCCCTTTATATATTAATATTGATAATATATTCATATAAGATATATTGAGGGTTCATTATGTCCACTCAAACTTGGACCAAATTTGACATGCTTTATTCTCAATGTTTCCCAATTCTTCTTACCTGGAAACTACTCTTGTATTTATCCTAACAATTACTCTAATGCTATGCAAGAAAAACTCAACTTTCAAAATAAGTTACATGATCTAGGCAATACGGAACGTGATACGTGGATTTCATTTATTTGTAATTTTTTTTTAATTTATGTTTATTTTTTTTTATTAATAATTTTATTAAAACCTTAGTATATTTAGTTACTTATTTTATTAGAGATTAGGCTTCCAAATAATGTCATGATTTACTTTGTTATTTTTAATTAGGGTTTTCTACGTTGCCTATATATATGGCTCTATGTAATAGTTTTCGGTTAGCTTTGAGATAATAGTGTTGAGTTGTTAAAGGTTGTGGCCGTTTTTGTGAGATTAAGGTTTTGACCGTTGTATTCTTCTTTTCTCTTCTAGTTCTTCTCAAAACTTTTTGATCTTCTCTTTTAGATCAATTCTCCACATATTCTGATTTTAGGATCAATTGAATAGCCGATTTAGTACTTGATTGAAATAAAATAAAATAAATTTCAAATTATAGATACGTTTAAGAAGTATCAAATAGGTTTATGCTAGTATCCAAAAAGTATTGATACTCGATACAAATACAACTCTCATCTAGAAGTATCTATATTTCATAGGTTGCAATGAATGTCAAATCTGGAGGAGAGGGACTCCGAAATCCGAATCAAATTGGGTGGAAGAAGTTCGGGTGAATGCTGGAATCTTTCCCAAACCCTAGGATGTTTCGTTTTGAAGAACATATATATATATATATAAACAAGTAGATACTAATATACTATCTAATCAAAGTTTGATTCTTTGATTTTTCCATTAATACCCACAAGCAACTTAACCCTTCAAGTACAATTTAAAGTCTTTCCCTTACATCACACAGCTAAATGACAAAACTCCAATACAGATTTTTTCAAAAATAAATAATAATAATAATTAAATAATCCAATTGAGATCAAGAAAAGCAGTTCCTTTCATACAAGAACATGTCACAATTCACAAAATCAAGCTTCATCAAGATTTTCATAATTAACAAACATCAAAATAAATCCTCAAACCCTAAACTTCGTTTAGTTTCGGAATGAATTGGAAATTTGAAACTTGTATAACAATTGTATATAACCGAGATAAACAAACACAAACATAGATATTGATGTAACTACATATAAGAAGGAAGATAAAGGAGAACCTAAAAGTCGAAAGTCTTGGAAGCTATCACAAATAAGCAGCAACAAGAAAATAATTTTCTAAAGAAATATCGAAATATTTTAAAAACAAACCAAACAAGACCATAATATTTTTAAATATTTTTAGAATTTATTCTAAAAGCACATATTAACTAGACTCTTGCAATAAATAAATGATAAAGAGTGATGTTAGGGATCCCAAATAATCTACTAAATTTTCTGCCAAATCTCTCACTTGTGTGAGTTTGTGTGGGTCGAAGTTTGGTAGATTATTTGGGGTTCGTAATATTTTCCAATAATAAATATAATTTTAAAATATACTACAAAACAAAAAGGAGAATTTACTCATAAATCCTATATGGGGGAGCTTTGATCCATTTAGTCCTAAGAGTTTTCTTATGGACGGATAGGTCCTAGTTTTTTTTTGAAAAGGCGTATCTCTTGAATAGAATACCCTTTTTAATGATTCATTTTGGGAACAAATTCCTGGGTGTGTGAGATTTGGTGGGTAAGACGTGATTGATATTATTCTGTGTGTGAGATTTGATGGAGTGTATCACGGTGGATGTGGATTTTGGCATTTCGGGGAGTGAACAGGAGTCTTTTTTACTAGTGTGTTTTTCT